AGACCCAGGCTCTCCAGAAACCGAAGGAACACCCTCACCCCCAGACGCAGCACCCCCAGACTCCGCACCAGCACCCCCAGACTCCGCACGACCAGTACCAGCCCCCGGAAGAGAAGAGTCCTCTGCAACCCGCGGCTCAGCTCCAACTCCAGCACCCCCAGAACCAGAGACCTGTACAGGGACAGTCGCAGGACCAACCTCCCGAGAGGGAGCACCTACAGGAGGCGGTGAGGAAGACTGTGGGGAGGGAGGCTGTACAGGGGGGGCTACCGAAGGGGGAGGGCTAGCCTGAGACACACCAGACGGGGCTGGACCAGGGGGGGGAGGCTGTACCGGGGGAGCAGGCGGGGGAGCGGCTGTCAGGAAGAGGGGGGGAGGAGGAACCGGGAGACCTCGACTGGGGTACCTGACGTAGTACGGGGTGGACTCCTCGAAACGGACGTCACGGGAGTCAAAGAACCGGTGAGAGGGAGGGTGGTAAAAGGTGAAGTCAGAGGAGTCCTCAGGGAAACCAAGGAAGACACAAGGAACGGCGCGAGGCGAGAGCTTGTCCGCGGAGGTGTCGCGGACAAGAGCCAAGCACCCCCAGACACGAAACCTCGACGCGACACCAGGGGACCCTGTCCAAAGACTGGTCGGTGAAGCCTCCGGCCGAGAGACGCGTGGCCAGAGGTTCAGCTGGTGCGCGGCGTACCTGACTGCGTATGGCCACAGGAAATGGGGGGCACGGGCGTGAGTCAAGGAGGTGCGGGCAATCTCCATGACCAGGCCTATGCGACGCTCAGCAACCCCATTCTGCTGTGGGGACTCCGGAAGCGTCCAGGACTGACGAATGCCCTGTTCGCGACAGAATCCAGCGAGAATGCCGGAGCGAAACTCGCCCCCGCGGTCGGAGTGGAGACAGCTGACACGACGACCACGAGTGTCCTGGGTGGTAAGCAACCACCTGATCAGCGTAGAAGTCACCTCAGACTTCCTCGCCAGGGGGAACACTGTGGTGTAGCGGGAGTAGTCGTCAACGACCACCAAAAAGAAACGCTCACGCTCAGGGCCAGGGCGAGGAGAGGGGCCCCAGACGTCCAAGTGCAGCGTCTCAAAAGGCTCGGTGGCCGGACGAAGGGAGGAGGAGTGAGGGGTGGCACGCAGCCTACCCTCGACGCAAGGACCGCACGGTGGTGCAAGGGACGGCGGCAGCGACGGCAAGACACGCGGGAGACCTAAGACCAGACGCTGACTAGACATAGCACGCAGACGTGGAAGAGAAGGGTGTCCCATCCGGTGGTGCCACAGAACGGTGGGGTGGGCAAGCGACCGACAGGAGCAAGACGCAGCGACTGGACTGGACGCGACAACCTGAGGGGACGGAACCACCTGGTGAGACGCAGGGAGGAGACTAGGGGGAGGGACAGGAACTGGGAGGAGTGGCTGCTGCGACGGCGGCCGCTGTGGCTGCGGCTGCGGCTGCTGCCGCTGCTGCTGCTGCGGCTGCTGCTGCTGCTGCTGCTGCTGCGGCTGCTGCTGCTGCTGCAGTCGCTGCTGAGGGCGCGGGCCAGTGTGAAGAGTGTAGAGACCGGAGCCCGGCTCAGCAGCAAAAGTGGCGAGGGGCTGGTAAGAGTCCCCGTCAACACACACCGCAGTCTCTCCAGAAGGCTCAAACCACACACCCACGTGCTGACTCACGAGGGGTCGCACGCCCACCAAGTTCCGGGAGAACGAGGGGACGTGAAACCCAGTGAGAGACCCAGAAGGAGCAGCCGGACACGGCAAGGTGGTAGTGTGACGCGCGGTGACTGGTCCCGAAGTGGGATCAGCCAGCGCCACAGAAACAGGCGCAGGAAGAGGCGTAAGTGTCGTGCTGTCACGAAAGAAGCAGTGAGAGGCTCCAGAGTCCAGCGTGAACGACAGCGAACCGTCCTCTGAGGTAGCCGCTGGACTAGAGTCTACACAAGAACCTACACTAGCAACAGGCAACTGAGCAAGGCTAGCACCTAAGCTAACAACACCAGAGTAAGCAGAGTCAGAAACACTAGAGTCAACAACAGCATACATAGCATGGGGAGTACCAATCAGATCAACTAACTGCTCAGCAGACATGGCCCACAGAGCGGAGCCGTAGAGCTGAACAAGAGGCAGCCAGTCAGGGGCAGGAGCACCAACCCCGTAGACCAAACGAACCGTGTCAGTGAGCTGAGCAAAGCACTGACCAGGGGGGTGAAACCGGCCACAAGGGTGGCCACGACGAGTGCCTGTCAGAACCTGGTAGGTGCAGGGAGTGTAAGCAGCACCGCGCTGGGTCTGACGCAGCCCCGACCCTGGAGCCAGCTGCTGCCGCTGCTGCTGCTGAGGCTGCTGGGAGGAGAGGGGCTGCTGGTGCTGCAGAAGCTGCTGCTGACGCTGAGCCTGGTACCACGCCGCTGCTCCGCCAACCGGGGCAGGAAGTACAGGAGGCGACTGACGAACTCGGGCGTCGCCACCACCAGCAGGCGCAGTGGAGTCACCAGTCACTGCACGAGGCGCCTCTCCAGGCCCTGAACCTCCACCGCCGCCAGGCGCAACGCCACCTCCACCACCTCCGCCTCCACCTCCACTACCACCACCAGAACCGCCTTTCTTGCCACTCCTACCGCGGGACCGCGACGCAGTCGTAACAGCAGCTGCAGTCGCGTCAGTAGCGGCAGTGGCAAGTGAGGCAGTAAAGGTGGGTAACTGCGGGACTGTGCACCCGTGGAAGAGTGGGGGGGGCACAGCACCAGAGGCAGCGGCTACCGAGCGAAGGTTGCTCTCGACGTCCTTGAGTGCAGACTCAAGGACCTCGACGGTGAGCTCACTAGGGTGCTTCAGCAGAAGCGCGTCGCGAACGGAGGCAAGGCGGTCAGGGAGGCTAGTGGCGATGAAATAGATAGTAATCGCCATAGGGGGAGGAAGCAGTGCAAGCTGTGCCTCAGTGCAAGCAGCGCGGTAACTAGCGTCGAGCGAGCGGAGGTGAGCGATCAAGTCAGCAGAGCGCTCAAAAGACGCCAGGTCAGGAAACAGGAACGGGAGGAACAGGCGGCCAAGAGAGACAGCAGCGGGAGTAGAGTAGCGGGCCTTAATCGCAGTGAGGTACGCAGCAGCGGTGCGAACCTGAGTGAAGTGAACCTCCTCAGACTCAGGGAGGAGGCTGCTGAGCGCGATGCAGGCCGCAGCGTCACGTGACGTCCAAGCCGTCTGGTCAGCTCGCTGAGTGGCAAAGCGGGCTCTAGCGGCGTCGTCAGGGGCAGGTCCTAAAGGCGTAGGGTCGGGGGGCGCAGGTAGGGCACCAGTAGCGTGCGCCCAGAGGGACTCGCCTGCCTGGACCTGACTCTCTAACAGACGGCGAGCACGAAGAAGCCAGACGGAAAAATCAAGAGGTCTACCGTCAGCGTCGAAACGAAGGACACGCTGAGTCGCCATAGCGAAAACGAACGCGAACGGAGAGGGAGGGGACAGCAGTAGATGAGAGGCAAATTAGGGTTCGGCGGTACTCTGGGACAGGGGAGGAGCGGACGCCACAGCGGGCGTGACAGCGGGAGGTAACAGGGGACTAAGCAGCGGAGAACGAGAACGGGCGCAGCGGCGGGCGATGGCAGCGCGTACGGCAGCAGGGGCCAGCAGCGCGCGCAGCGGGCGACGGCAGGGGGCGCAGCGGCGACGCGCGCAGCGGCGGGCGACGACGGCGGGGCCGCAGCGAGGCGCGCAGGGGGCGGGCGACGGCGGCAGGCGCGGCGGCGACGAGCGCGGTCGCGAGCGACAGCGGCGGGCGCTGCGGGACGGGCGACTCGACGGGGGGAGAGGGCAGGAGCGACGGGACAGGGGGAGGGCGACGTGACGGGGGGAAAGGGGCGGGTGCGACGGGACAGGGGGAAGGCGACGTGACGGGGGGAAAGGGGCGGGTGCGACGGGACAGGGGGAGGGCGACGTGACAGGGGGAAAGGGGCGGGTGCGACGGGACAGGGGGAAGGCGACGTGACGGGGGGAAAGGGGGCGGGTGCGACGGGACAGGGGGAAGGCGACGTGACGGGGGGAAAGGGGGGGGGGGGGGGGCGACGGGACAGGGGGAAGGCGACACGACGGGGGGAAGGCGCGGACGCGACGCGACGGGGGGAGCGCGACGCGACAGGGGGAAAGGGACGGGCGCGACTCGAAGGGGGGGGGGAAGGCGACGCGAAGGGGGGGGGGGGGGGGGCGGGCTACGCTACGAACGAGAGCGTGGCTCGGCGCTAGGCTCGGTAACAACGAGAAGGAGACGAACGAGAGCTAGGATCAGGCTCGGGTGGTACGAACGGAGAACGGCGGAACGGGATCCCACAGGATCCTAACCTAACTGATACCATGTCAAAATGATGATGCATTGATGTTGGTTGGGGTACATATAGCTAACCCTAAGTTTTGTACCCCCTAAGACAAACCTCACTATAGGCTACAACATGTGACACTCTGGACAGGGAAACTTTACACAGGATCTAGAAACTCATGTGCGAATGAAAATGCGTCTGTACCTGACCTCTCTAAACTGGAGATGGTAGCCTACTCAGGTAATGGCCTATCTAGCTCATAGCTTCACAATGAACAAATTAAATTGGTTGCTGCTGCGTATGAATTCCAGCAGAAATACGAAACCCAAAACTGGCAGGTTCACGAGCCGTGCACCCTAACCACTGCACTGCACCATTCCTTGCAACATCCCTCTTCTTACTACTTGCTGCCTCCACCATCACTGCCGTTGCTACGTGTGCGCTTGTGCACGTGCTCGTCCTCCTCTCCCTCCATCCGCGCTCCATCTACCCACATGTCTGTGGGCCGTTTCAAAGACGCCGCTGCCACCGCTGCTGCTGCTGCCACCGCCTCTGATGCAGCTGCTTCTGCAACCACAGCACAGCCACCGCCATTGTTGCTCCGGATCCTGGTGCTGTTGTGCACACCAGTCTCTTCTCTCTGCTCTCCCTCCTCTCCACCCAAACCACCACCCTCCCCAGCCAAGTTCACTGCGACCATGGCTCCCTCTTCAGGCTCGACAGCCCCCGCTGCCACTCCTACTCTCTCCATTTGCACTCTCATCACCACCTCCTGTGTCACCTCCCCTTCTTCTGCTACTCCTGCTACTGCTCTTGACTCAGCTGCTCTCGAGCTAGCCGTCGTGCAAGCCGCCTCAACGGTAACGGATGCCTCTTCCTTCACATCCGCCTTCTCCATTTTCTTCTCTTCCTTTTCAATCTCCACCTCCTCCTGTTGCTTCTCCGCTTCTGCACCATCCGTTCCCCCCACTCCCTTCTCCGCGCCCTCCCCCTCCTTCTCCTTGCGCTCCGCCACTCTATGATCCACCAGCAGTCGTATCCAATCCATCACGCGGACCACGTGCTGCAGCGCGGTCGCCGGGTCGCTGACCTGCGTCATGTTCGGCGCAAATACCACCGCCATGTTCCGCGCGCTCATGCGGTTCTCCTCCCCGTGCGCGCACACGTCCGCCATCAGGTTCAGCGCCCAGTCCAGCAGCCCGCGCTCCGTCGCGGGGAGCGTCGCGGCTAGCGCCACAGCGGCTTCCGTCGTGTTTGGGGTGCTCGCGAGGCGGGAAGGCGACACGGAGTCTAGCAAGCCGTATGGAAGCTCTTGGAACCATGTCTGGAAGAGGGGAGAGAAATGGGGGTCGGGGAGGGAATAAGGGCGCAGGGGAGAGAGTGGGCACGGTGAGGGTCGGCGCAAGTTGAGAAGAGAGAGAGAACCAACACTGAGTTTTCAGATCCGCAAGCGCGAAAACAAAATGGATCAAGGAGGCAGTTGTGCATAGACACGACTTCGAGGAGAGGCGCGAGGATAGGCGCGCGGAGAGGCGCGCGGAGCGAGGTGTGCAGGGGCGAGGTGGGGTTGTGTACCTTGATAAGCGCGGCGATGCTGTGAACGTCCATGTCCGCGGGCACGGTCCCCGCACTCATCTGCTCGCGCACGCGCTCGTCGTGCTCCATCTTGCCCGATATGCGGAAAATGCCCTCCGCCTGGCGCGCGGAACAAGCACCACGGGGAAGGAGAGCGGAAACGGAGATGAGGAAAAGGCGAAGGGGAGCAAGGAGCAGTGATGCAATAAGGGAGAAATGAGGAATGGCCTCGACTATAGAGCCGGTCCCCGCCAGCAAGCGCGATCGGCGGTGAGCTGAAGGATCTAAAACTGCAAAAGTAGTTTGTTTTATTTGCACTTTGCGTGGCAAAAAAGTTGCTCGAGGAGCGACCGGGACAGAAGAGAAAGAGGACATGGCGGAGAGGAGCAGCGACAAGCGGTGCGGCAGGGAAGAGCGGCGCGCGTACCGAGAGGCCGTGAAGCTCGTAAAGGCGCTCCTGCAGCTTGATCAGGATAGTCGGCACCGCGTTGCCATGTCTGTCCAGGGAGCACTGCATCGACTCGGGTCGCACGCCGAACACGGACAGGCTGCCACGTGAACAAACGGAGGGGGCGGGGAGGGAAGCGGAGGGCGGTAGAGAAGGTAAGCGGGAGGTGGAGGGGGAGGGGAGGTATATTCGAACGACTTTTCGATTATTCACTCCGTAGCACGTGGCTTCACGCGTGCACGACGCTTTACGGCTGGGGCTGCAAAACTAGGAACCTGCGCCGGTAAGGTTTTTTAGATCAGTTTGATAAAATCATCGCCGTACCTGGCGCTGGGAGGGACGCCTTCGACGTGCTTCAGAAACTCCTCGGGCAGCCCGAGAAAGCCGCGGTAGCGGTCGAAGGTGACGTGCGCCACGTGTTTAACATTGAATGGCTGGCCAATGTCCATCATAGGGTGCATGGCGCACGGGTCGGACCACGCCGCGTCGCGGCGGAGCAGACAGAAGGACCGTCGAATGGCTGCCATGCGGATAACGCGGGAGGGAGGGAACGAGAGGAAGGGGGGAGGGAATTAGTTGGATTTCTGCGGGGGCGAGCGCGGGAGAGGGGGGACGGGGAGCGGTTTGATGGGAGCGGGAAAATGCCATCTCAGCAGTAAGGGTGCGTGGTGCAGAAAGGTTCGTACCAAGCATGATGCGTTTGATGGATGATCTCGTTAGCGTGCTGCTGCTGTAGCGCGGTGCGTTCGAGTATGGGGCGACGGACGCCGCTGTCATACAATCGGTGACGCTAGATACGGAGGAGTACGATCAGGCTAAGAAGATTAATGACTTATAGCGGGAGCAGCGTGACGGCCGCGTGGAGGAGCACGATGCGGCCTGCAAACTGCAGCTTCCGTGGGACTAGAAGACGGAGAGATAATAGGCGCGTTTCCAATGGATGGGGAAGTAGATGACTAAAAGAGTTGGTCGATCTTGGAGGAGCTAGGAGCAACAAAACGGAGTGCGAGAAGAAAGCGATCGGTCGTTGGACGGGACGAGTAAAGAGCCACTACGGCTGGCAAAATGGGGAGGGGACGTGGGCTTGGCTGGGAGGAAAAAGGCCGGCAACTAGATCGCTAGAGGTTGGCACTTGGGTTTATCCCTCAAGGTGTGGTGTGGTGTCGTCGTGTTGAGGATGGTCGCGCGTCGTTCACCACGATTATTTGTCGACCGACCGCATTTTGAGAGGCACGAGAGGGGGCTGCAATGGCAAGGGAAGGGGGGCGGGGTTTGCCTAGGACGACGACAACCCGGTCACGCAGTTACGTTACGTTACGTTGCGTTCTGTCGCGTTCTGTGTGATGGCTATTGAGAGGCAAGGGCGGCAGGGCAGAGATGAAGGAATACAAAGCTACACCGCGTAATTCGGACTGAAACAGCCAGCAATTCCCACAAAATCCACGCTGGGAATGAGACGAATTACTAACGAACAATACTTAGCGTTTCAATGTATTTCATGCCCCATTGCGTTGATTATCTTCCTGAGTGCCCGGACAATGACAACATTTACAGCACTATTGTACAGTCGAACCTGCCTGCCTTCCTCATTCGCTCTCCCCTCACCCAACCAAACCTGCAGAACAACCTGCTACCGCTAGGCTGGGCTCGGTCTGGTCTGCTCTGTCACTCGTTCGGGGTCGGGCAATGACCAGAAATCGAGGTCGTTGATTCCACCAGGCCAGACACGCGAGCATGACCTCCCACCGAGAAACGTACAGTAGACGTTGACGTTGTTCCCTCCCACCGAGTTGTCGACGTTTCGTCTGCTCGGGTCATTCATTCCAAGGCGTTCCGTCAAGACGCCGGCTGGTTTGGTTTTTGGACGTCTACCCTTTCAAGATCATCCGCTGTACAGCGATTTTCGCGCACATTATTGGTGGAGTTGCGTACCGTGCGTACACTTGGCAGGGGGCCCACACCGACCGAACTTGACGGAAATGCAGACCCTTGACGAACGTTCCTCTCACACAGCACGTCAGGTCAAATAAATACCGGGAAAGAACGTTCCCAGCTTGCACTGCCTGTGACTGCCCAAGAAAACCACCACCAGCGACGTGCGAGCCGCTAGTTCAGGTGGGACAGCAACTCGCCTGGAACAGCCCCTGCGTGTGAACGCCATCTGTAACGCGGATGCTTGTGGTTGGTGGACGTGAACTTGTAACTTCTCTTTCCAGGTTTTTCTGCTCGTTATGAAATTGCATAACTATTTCATACAGAAGACTGCCATTCTGAAAGTTCTTTGGTTCATATTCTTTGTGTTTAGAGCCCTCTTGTTTTGGGCTTTCCGAAAAAAACAAAAAAAAAAATTTACAGCGGCATGCCTGATTCTTAGGTTTACAAGCAGCAATTATTTAAAGTACTGTTAGAGTGAGGATCTTGGATAGGGTAGGAAGTGCCTTTGAGAGGATTGGTAGCGGAAGTCTTGGTAGGAACCTTGATCATAGTGAATGTAAATGACAAAGTTGATTAAAAGACGGAATACAAGCAAATAAATAGTCCTAGCTAGCCATATACTCTAAGGGGTACATTCCCTTATTATAACTGTTTTACAGGCAGTACTACAGTGACTCTGACTATTGCATTTCCTTTCTTGTTACCGAGTCGCTGCTTGTAACCGTGCGTACGGTTACGCCTGTTGCCATTCCTCGATAGTAGGTCAATCGTCGGTCCAGATAGTCAACAGTCGCGACAGTTGACTCTTGCGACTGTTGACTTTCCTGCCTTTGATATGGGCTGATCCGACATCTGCTGCTCGCGCTGCTTCGATAGTGACTGGTGCGATATTGCTTCACCTTCGGGAATGCTTAAGTGAGATTCCCTTCATACTCCAACACTCCCCTTCATTCCTGGAGGTGCGCCACGTGGCTCTTGCGAACGACTCCGCACAGGTCCGAGTAATACTGGAATTTCTGACATGGCAGTTTCTTAGTCAGAAAATCTGCTGCCATCTCGCCAGTCGGACAGTAGGTGAGCTGGACCTTGCCCTTGTCGATTTCGTCTTTGACGAAGAAGTATCGCAGGGCGATGTGTTTGGTGCGGTTGACGGGGAATGCCAAGCAACAAGAAACGCAACCTAAGGTCACAAGACCAGTCACAAACAAAAGACAAAACAAAGCTCAGGGTGGATCACAACGTCACCACACAGTCTGAGCGCAAACAGCGGCCACAAGGCCAGTTCAAGAGTGTATATGCAGATATATACTGTACAAGCAAAGACAAGAGACAAGCACTCACTACTGCAGTCTACTCGACCCAGTCTCAACGAGGCCCAACTGCAGACAGAACCGGCGGTGGTCACAAGGCTGAAGAGCCTTGGTGAAGATGTCTGCAGTGTTGGCCTCGGAGGCCACGAAGTCCAGACGAGCCTGCCCGCGTCTCTGCAACTCTCGAAGGAGGAAGTACCTGACGTCGATGTGCTTCACTCTGCTCTCCAGTCGAGGCTCACGACACAGGAGAATCATCGCCCTGTTGTCAGCAAACAGGGTCGGTGCAGAGCTCGGCCGCTCACCAAGGTCAGTGAGCAAAAAGGTCAACCAGCGTAGCTCCTGAGCAGCAAGGGCCCCAGCGTAGATCTCGGCCTCTGCGGTAGAAGTCGCAACCGAGGAGGACCGAGTAGACCTCCACGAAACAGCTCCAGAACCCAGGCTGAAACAGTAACCCTGCGTAGACCTCTGAGTCTCAACGTCGTCGGCGTACGAGGAGTCGCAGTGACCGGTGAGTACAACTGGCTGTGTCCCTCCAAGTACAAGCCCCATGCCTGATGTCGCGCCAAGGTACTTCGCCACCCTCTTAGCCGCCGCCCAGTGAACAGGACGGTGTCTCCCAGTCGCAACAAAGCGAGACAGGATGCTAAGAGGGAAGGCGAGGTCCGGGCGAGTGCAGGTCATCAGGTACATGAGGCAGCCCACCAGCTCTGCGTAGGGACCACTGGGCTCGAACGGCTCGTCAGGAAAAGGCCCAGTGAGTCTGTGGTCTACAGCAAGAGGAGTGGGTGTAGGAGAGGAGTCCTGAAGCCCGAACCGCTGAAGGACCTGCTGCACCATGTGTGACTGAGTCAGAGTGATGGTGCGAGCGGCTCTGTCCCTGGAGATCTGCAGGCCAAGGTAGCGGCGCAGTTCCCCAAGGTCAGTGCAAGTGTGTCTCTTCTGCAGTTCGGACTTCACCTCCGCCAGTGCAGCTGTGTCGGCTGTGGCAAAAACCAAGTCGTCAACGTAGACCAGAACGAAGAAAGGTGTGCGCCCACGACGAACAAACAGCGACGGGTCGGCGGAAGACGGCTCAAACCCGAGGTCGGAGAGAGTAGAGCGGAGAGTGTCGTGCCACTCACGGGGTGCCTGGCGGAGACCGTAGACCGGTCGTCTGAGGCTCCACTGGGTCCCAGGCGGGAAAGTGCCAGTGAAGCCCGGAGGACGACGCAGCCAGATCTCCTCGTGTAGGCGGCCCTGGAGGAAGGCAGTGGAGAAGTCAAGAGAGTGTAGCTCGTAGTCTCTCTGTGCTGCTACGTGCAGTAACACCCGAAGAGTGGTCATCTTCGGGGTGGGCGCGAAGGTCTGAAAGAAGTCAACTCCCTCACGCTGACTGAACCCTCTAGCCACGTAGCGTGCCTTGAAGACTGGGGGAGATCCCGGTGGCCGCTTCACCTTGAAGATCCACATGCCGTCAACGATGTTCGCCCCTGGGGGGGGAACCTCGTCAACGTAAGTGCCTGTGGACCTGTAGGAGGCCATCTCTGCGTTTATGGCAGCTCTCCACTGAGAGGCCCAAGGCCCTGACACTGCCTCAGCGTAAGTGCGAGGAGTAGGTATGTCAGGAGCGTCGGGGTCTCCCTCAGGAGTGAGCAGCATGGCACAGAGATGAGGCGAAGCAGCTGCCAGGAACTCTAGCTCAAACTGTCTGTCCTCTAGGACGTCACAGCCAAGGGCAGACTCACCCCCGGCGGACAGAGGACGGACAGGAGGAGCGGCCACAACACGAGTGGCGTAGTCAAGGCGACGCGTAGCAGTAAAGTCAGTGACAGCGGCAGTGAGGACCGCGACGGAGGAAGGGGAGGCACGAGGGTCTGTAACAAGAGAGGCGAGAACACGAGAGAGAGTGGGGCGGTACGTGCGGTAGTAGTCAGTGACCGGAGTGGACAGGGAGGCAGTGAGGGAAGACTCAGGAGGACGAGGAAGGACAGACGGAGGAGAACGAGGAGGACTAGGACGAAACAACACGGTACGGAGGTCAGTGACAGGGGACGAGGGACGAGTACGGGGAGGACGAGAGGCCCAAGTGTGGGCGAGAGGAGGGGGGGACGGAGGAGACAGAGAACGAGGGAAGACAGCCGGAGTGGAGTCCGGAGGAGGAAACGTAGGACCGAACACAGGAGGAGAGGAGGGGAGACCAAGGGCCCGAAGGCCAGAAACAGGGGGCGGAGGCTGCTGCGGCTGCTGCTGCTGCTGCGGCTGCTGCTGCTGCTGCTGCTGCTGCTGCTGCTGCTGCTGCTGCTGCTGCTGCTGCTGCTGCTGCTGCTGCTCCCGCTGCAACTCCAACCTCTCACTCTCCACCCGCTGCTGAAGCTCCAACCTCTCACGCTCCAAACGCTGCTGCTCCTCACGCTCAAGACGAAGACGGGCCTGGTGGCGAGTCGGGTAAGGGTGAGGAGGAGGAGT